CCTCTGAAACACAGATATCTGCACACAGACATCTCACCCAATAATTTGTGAGTATGATCTGTACATACTAATTTAAAATGGGTAATTTCTCCCTCTTCCCCCACACTTAATGCAAAACCTGTAAAGATGGCTGCAAAAAGTGTGAAGCAAGACTGACAGCCAGGAGTGAGTCCCAGTGCTCTTTCCTGACGGACTCATGTGGGGTGAGAGCCCTACCCCAGACAGGAGTAATTCTGTATCTGTGATGCAGCTACTATTTGTACTAGGTAAGTCCTAGCACTGTACAAAACACATTAAAAAATGCCTGTAAGTGTTGATGTAGAGATTTCCATTTCCAGCATGGAAGGAATTTAAGCCTCTAGTTCAAACTCCCACTGAAGTAAATGGAAATTTTATGTTTAAACATTTTTCAAAATACAATGCATTACTGCCACAGGTGAGTCACTAGAGACACTAGGTAATACTAGCCATATTTATCTTAAGAATAAATGTTACATGTGAAACAATTTTTTAAAATTTTTTTGCTGGCTGTGAAATTTGAAAAGATTCTTGTTGGTGGTGTAACAAATGAGTAATTTTCTGTAGCAACAACACTTTTAGCTGCTGGCCTAAGAGAAAAGCCTGGTGAATAAACACATGAGAAAACTAAAAAAATAAATTTCCTGTAAATGTAAAACTAAAGAAAGTCCTAGAGACTTTGAAATAACATCTTGTTTGAAACATGCCTCAATATTTCTCAGACTTCAAAAGAAACATTAACTCCTAGAAGAGATCTGATTCTTCCTCTTGGGAATCTAACTATAGAGGCAGGACTCGACAGACAACTTGCAGTGGAGCTTGCCCGAGAGATGTTTGCTATTACTTCAACCAAGGATATCTGTTGTTGGAAACTACGTAGAATTTAAGTGGTCCTTCGTCATATCACTATCTTCTTGCTCAGTGACTAGGACATACAACTCACTTTCCTAAATGAGTTAACGAACTTGCAGTTTCTTTTCAGCATGTACATCAAGACTGCCTAGCCATCAGTACAAATAAATAAAATATTACACTGTAAAAAATTAAGAGGAACACTTTTCGAAAGGAACTGAAGTAGATTCCGTGTCAGACAGTGACTTAAGTCTCAGCCAAGAGGTCTTTTCTTGGAGCTCCTGACTTCAGAAAGTTATCCACAGAGACAAAGAAGGCTCTTGCTGACACATTGATGCAGTTATCTTTCACAGATTTGCTGTGGGTTTAACAATCTGCCTGTTGCTTACAAAAGTAAGCACAAGAGATGGGCTCTTACTACAAAGCCAACAAAAGAAAAATGAATCACTCCCAGTCAAGCCAAACTTAGCACCTTGTATTTTCTGGTTTGTAGAGCTACATCATTAAATGCTTTTTTTTTTGCCATTAGCTCTGCAGTGACCTTGCATGCACTGAGGGCAGCACAGTAGAAACCAAGATATCCATCAAACTGTTCAAAAAATCCTTAGAGTTCAAAGGCTGCATTCTCCCATCACTTAACTAGGAGGAATTCTCTTGCAATGGACAGAGTGACAAAACTGGCATGAAGGAGGTCAGATGCTGGCTCTTTATCTGTATCTGTCTTCACAAGTGTACATTTGCTGACCAAAATCCTACCATAAAGTTTCTGCGTTCGCAATTACAAGTTAGGAAGTCTCTGTTAACCTCTTCATTCTGAAGTCTGGGATTAAAAAGAACTTTTCTATTTCATTCTCTCAAGGTATATGGGCCTCTGGCATAGGAGAACCAAAACAGGAGAGGACAGGAGTGATCAGGCTTGCTGTAAAACTCAGCAGGCTCTGCAGTTCTTGGAAAGCATAACAACTATATCTACAGCCCTAAGGCAGTGTGTCTTACAGTAGTCAGAAGTATGCTGCTCGGGCACTCATCCTCAGGAAGAACCTCAGGACACTGCATGGTAGAAGCTGTTAATTGATTTACAGTTTACTGAAATATGATTGTTATAATGGTCCCTTGCTGCTCTTGCAGCTTGTTGGAGATGACAAAAACAATCCATCATTGTTAACATAAAAATTAAATACATATCCTAGACTCTGACAGCAAAATTTGGGGGAAAGGGCAGTGGGGGAGGGAGGACGGAGAAAGAGCAAGAGATCAAAAAGTTCACTTTGAAACAGGAAAGTCAATGATTTGGAACCCTTTGGGACTGTATTCAGAGTCTTATAGACCTTCCTGCTGGCAAACTTACCCAACTCTGTCACTTGTAAGCATTAAAAAAATCTGACTTCGTACAGTGCTCCTCTTGCTCTTGCATGACTACTCAGACTTCCAAGAAAGCACAAGATAGCAATTACCATAGCAGATCATCACCCTCCTACTACCAGAAATGTGATCACACTCTCCTTTCTGAATGATCATGTGCTCCAGACAAAGCCTGGAGCAGAGCATGAGATGGCAAGGTGGATTCAGAAATATGGGGAAAACACAGCTGCAATTTGATTGCCAATGCTGACATTTGCCATCAAATAGCAGGGAATTGGCTTCACTGATGATGGAGATACTGCATGAAAATACAGCAGAAACATGGTGTCTGATCCTTTCCTGGAGTGAATAGTTTGAATTTTGCCTTTTTTTCCAGATTGAGGACTGGGTCTCAAAAGCTCCTTGCTATCTTTTAAATGACAACTGGGAAAAGGTTGATAGTTATGAGGGTTGTGTTTTCTTTTTTTTTTTTTTTTATCTGCAGTAAATGCTACTGCTGCTTCAACTTTGTTTATTTTAAGTCTATAAAGAAATCAAATTAACAACCCAGTAACCAACCTATTTCTTCTTTCTACTGAGCAAAGCTTTGAAATCCTGGCTGAATTTCTGCACTTTTCTCAAATTTAATAAGTCTTGCTCAGTTAGAAACAACCATGCTTAGCTCTCAGTAAATGCAAAGATTTTTATTTTACTATGGGATTTAAAGGCTTTGTATCTCACTATGTAGTTCACACTGCTGCTTCTCCTTTTATCTCAATGTTTCAACCAGGTGCCTATTGCTGTAGTACATAGGCCCATAACTAGCAGTAGTGAAGACAGAGGCCAGTACCTGAAGATTTTTCCCAAGTGAATACAGAAGGCACCTGAGATACCGCAAATGATACAAAATCACATTACAGCACCTTTAAAGTGACTACCAAAGTGAGGTCAAAAATATGACTTAGGAGCACAAATACCATTTCCTTCTAATGTAACTTGTGCTCCCAGCTTCCTTTGATACTTGAAAATCGCACCTTATACCTTACTTGTGAAGTGTACAAAGAAAGAGGGATGTTGAGGAGCAAAGAAATTAATTTTTTTCCCCTTAGATTTCACCTCTCTGAAAAGTGCATCAAACTCTTTCAAAGATAGGCTAGAGGGAGAAAGGGGGAGAGGGAGAGTGGAGAAGAACATTTGGAACTGTAGCTTCGCATCTCATTGAGAGGAACAATTTATCAGAGCTGTGGAGCTGTCAGCCCTTGACATGATAAGGAATAACACCAAATGAGTAATGTTTCCTCCAAACCCAGCTCCTTTAATTACAAGCCGCTTCCTTGCAGAAGAGAGACGGAAGATGCAGAAACACCAATTTCATGCACTTGTGCCTGAATAATGTCTCTGTGATGCCTTTTCCAGATGGCAACCTTTTCACTAGAGGAACTAATGATGTGGGCATATTTAGGGAAAAACCAATAACGGAGTCTTTAACCTTCAACAGCAAAAAGCATGTTGTACAAAATGTTCCTTGGGATACATTTACAAATATCAATTACATTGCTCACTGAGGTGTAATCAGCTGTAATAATCAAAATTAATTTTAAAAAATAATTAAACAGACCCTAGGGCAAATAGTCGATGCTCTTGTAGTATGACATCACAGTCTACATATGTACCTGGGAAGAACTTGCTCACTCTGTAAGCAGCAAAGTGATTTTAAGCAATGAGAAGGATGCTGTGGCATGCTGAGAAAAACAAAATGCAGCTCAGTAAGGTACTATCACACACATTACTTGTGTATCATAGCCTTCCTGATCAACACACCTGGAAGTGAACCAATCATCACTGGGGATAAAGCTGCAACCTGTTGCAGCTTGAGCTAGAGGGTTAAGACTCCTTAAACTGATGCTGTAACAGGCTCACTGTCTCCTCAGCAGGAGAAAAAAAGACCTTAATATGGTCAGCATTGCAGTAACAAACTCAGTCCAAAGCTCTGAATATTCTGTCAATGCACTGTTGCCTTACCCTACAGCTGGTTACTCTAGCCCTAACACACTTAAACAAGTAACATCTAACTGGTGCTTTCTATTTGTATTCTTGACAAATGTCCAGCAAAAACATGGAAATGGCCCTCTCTCTCAGCAAAGGAGGAGCTTACATATGGAAAAGATAGTCCAGCTGCATTGCTGGCAGTAGGAATGCTGCATACTCTCCAGACCCATCCCTGGTTTATATAAGCACTTGTCTCCTTATCTCGAGGCTAAACTGAAATTTGGACCTTTAATACTTCGTATTGACTAGAAAATGAAAGGACAGTAGTATGGCAATACCTGATCCTTTCTACCAATTCAGTGTCTGAAGGACAAGGTTTACATAAGCGATGTAAGTCAAAAGCAGCAGCAAAGCCAGCATCTCCTCACCTTGCTCTGACCCAAGCACAGCCCTGTGAGCACAAGCGCACACAGGTTGCTTAGGTTTTTCCTTTCCAGTGCAATAATTAGGCCTCACGCAACGAGTAACATTGGACTTGATGATCTTAAAGGTGTTTTCCAACCTAAATGGATTCTATGATGTTATGTGAAGACTGCCGATTGAAGTTCTTCAGATCAATGACTATTTCTTAGTGACTATATCTAGCAGTCTAGAAAAGGAACTGCAATAGGTGTCTAAGTTTACAATGGAACATGTCAACAGACATTCTCAGAAGCCTCTCAAGTCCAGATAGACTCTCTAGAGCCATATCAAAGGCAGAGCCAGTGACAGAGCTAGAAAAGACAAAAAGCAGAAGTTACCTCAGATTTGCATGTCATTTCCTTTGTGTTTCGGCCAGGCATCAATCTAATAGCTGAAGAGAGGCTTTCACTCCAGGAACTGTGCTTGCTCTGTGACAGGCCTGGCCCTGCTTTATTCTGGAGAATCTTCTTTTCAGATGCTGTGGGCCAGAACAGAAAAAACAGCTTGTAAGAATTGAAGTTGAGCCTGTGGGAAGGTAGAGGGTTTGTATCCATGTTACACAAGACACATCATTGCAGTGCCTCACTCCAGCTGGCTTGTCCTTCTATTTATAAGAGGAGCCTTGAATTAACATGTACTTCTCAAGTCTTTATTTAAAAGCCTCACAGAGGTCTGCCATAGACATCATACAGACATGAACTTTGAATCCCTGCAGCACTACACGCATTCGGTTGCCATTCTTCACCCAAATATCCTCCCTTTTAAATTCTCCAATGGGATACAATCATCTAAGGAGATTTCTCTTTCTTGCAGTACAGCACGAGCTGTACACAGGATGATTACAGAAGGGCTGGGGCATGACACAGAAAGCAATCACAATCCTGGATGAGAGAAACTGAGAATCTGCTTTATCTAGAAGTTGATGTACAGACGAAGGGCATAACCAAGGAATCAGCAGCTTTCCATTAAGTGGTACATTTACTGCAATGATTTTGCTTACTACAATGAGCGTTCCACGAAAGAACAGAGACCTATCAAGTGTTGCCAAGCTTTTGTCATAATTTCTTCCCACAATGGAGTGATCTCCGTTATCTTCATGTCCCTTTCTTTGTCATTTCCTTTTACAGAAAGATCCATCTTGTAAGCGTCCTCCAGAGCCTGCCACCTCTGAGAAATAAGCTGCTTCCAGATGATTTCTACTGTTCTCAGAATCTCCTGATGGACTAGGAAACAAAAGAAAGTACAAATGAAGAATCATTTTTTGTGTAACAAGTCAATCAGCAGATAAAGCAAAAACATCTCATTTGGAACAGCACTGGTCCAGAGTAACTGCTGGAGTCAGTGGAGCTGCTCCATTTTGTCTACTGCCTCCACAGGTTCTAAGCCAGACTAGTTAGTCTAATACAGAAAACAGCAGGACATTTCTTTTACTATATTTCAACTCCCTGAAAGAAACAAGTAGTAGTGACAGATTATTCTAACTGGTTTCTGCCTTGGAAAACTATCTCATCAGAATTTTGATGATCTTATTATCACACACAGACCGCTAAAGCATCCTGTTGCCAAACATCATTAGAGACAGTGGGGGAAGGTAACCAAGTTGTGAAACAGTTTGACACAGTAACAGGATGCTGTACAAGGAAGTGCTGAGCTGTTTGCTATATTTCCCTGCAAATCTGACTTATTTGGTTCCATCATATCCAAGCCAATATATATTTAAAAAAAAAAAAAAAAAAGCATCACTCTGCTGTAGGGTTCAGCTGACAGCCCCACACTGACTCTTGCCCAAATTTTTTTTCCAGTGTTTCTCTTAAAAGATCAAAATGTTTGAATAAAAAGGTATGACGTGAACAGAAATAATTTTTAGCAAACCCTTCTTTTCTCTATGCTGTGCCTGCAGTGACTATACACTGAAGAGGCAATTGGAGTAGCGCTTGCACAAGCTGCTCTGGTAACTGTTTAGGCCAGGCACTTTCCTGCTCTGTAAGCCAAAGGCAACATGTGCGATAAATTACCATCATCTGGAGTAGGCAGGCTGCCCTTTTCCTCTTCACTGGGTGCAAGGAAAATCTGGTGATATGAAGCCAACTTTGGTTTTGCATCCACCCCAAAACCTTCTGGATAACTGTGAGGGGAAAAAAAAAAAAAATAAGGAGAGCACATGAGAAAACCAGACTTAGAACAAACTGAAGATAGTGAAAAAACTAAAGGTATTTCTACATATCCACTCCTACTCGATTCATTTAGTAGACCAATATTCCCAGGCTCAAGGGCTCACACCAATCACATGATACTGAAGATTTTACAGGAAGTGGGAACTAAAACACTTCCAGTCTAGTTTTCAAAGTCAAGAAACAGTCATCAAGATCCTATGGATCACTCTGTTGTACAAGCCTTATCCCTGCGCTGCTTAATGCACTTGTATCTACCATTCATCTCAATTAGCTGCAACACAGGGCTGTACTGGTGTAGCCAGACTGTATCCAGCTTTCTTGCACCTCCCCTGAGCATCTTGTATGCCGTCTCTTTGCTCTGAATTTCTTCACCAGAGGTATCTTTCATTATGTGAGAAACACTGCCTTGCCATACCCTACACCTGAACTGCTTGCTTAGTCTAAGTTCTTTGCACCAATGATTGTTCATTCAGTTTATAAAACACTCAGCACAAAAAAGCTGCAGACTTTAGCACCATGATGTTAGTGTCATGTCGATGTGATTATAATTGAGAACATAACCACAGCCAAAAAGTTAGTGTTGCTTTGGGTGTGTGTGTGGGGTGTGTGTCAGGTAGTTTACCAGTCAGTAGGCAAAAGACTGCAGGAATTTCAGCACAGCAGTAATACTTACAATAAACGCAACAGGCTTAGTTAAGGCATCCAGACAACATATACTTGGTCACAGAAGTGCTGTCAATAATATATATATTACATATAGCCACTAGTAACATACTACATTCTCTTAATTGTAAACAGACACTACTACATGGGAGAGGCAAATCTCTTGGGTACACAAAGCTGCCATTTTTATTTCTGACTTTCTTTTGAATACCACAGTTCTGATTCCCGGGATCTGCTATATTTAGCTTTTGGATAACACCAACACTTCCGTAATTTTTTTTTTTTTTAATATTTATGCTCTTGCTACATACAAACAATCCTTACCCCATCTCAACAGTTTTGGTCTGGAAATTATTATCTGACTGGAATAAGAACAATCAAGAAAAGACCTCAGGAAGTGCAGCTCATTTGTGATGTGATACTGTATTAATGGATTCAATTCAGACCATCTAAGCAGCACAGAAGGTTTTCATTGAAACAACAAACATCATTATAGTGACTAAATCACTAGCCAATATTTGCTTCTTTTGACAAAACAGAGTTGTCCAAAATAACTCCCCAGCTTACATTAGCAAGAGTACCTCTGACACATCACCTGTAAGAATAGCAAACAGAGTGGGTATGGATGTTATAGCCCTATCCAAGTCAATGGCAAAACTCCCAACTTCAGTATGACCAGGATTTCGCAGCTCAGATCCAAGTAACAATAACCATAACAGAAAGATTCACAAGATCCATGCACAGTTTTATATATCTTCTAAATGTACCCACACAAGAATAGCTGCTGAATCAGAAAAACTGTCTCCCTAAATTAGTCCATGCAGGGGTGTCTGAGAATGGCCACCTGCATGCTTGTGGAGTGATTCTAGCCCACACCTCAGGAAGATTTCCAGATTCTCATTTTAATGATGGGCTTGTGAGCCAACTCCATTGAAATCAGTTCAAGCTTGTTAACTGCAGTTACTGCTCCGAAGTCAGTAAGCTGCTGGAAATGCTGGATAAGTAAAACAGATACACACAGATGTTTTGGTTAATAAAGAGTAGCAATTAAACCTATGCGCAAATTTAAGGGTTCTGCTTAGACAAACATGCAAGCTTGTCTGGGTGTCTCTGAAATGAAACACCCTTTTCAAAATGAAAAAAAAAAATGTAATTAAGCGTTACATTGTTACCATCCATTGTGCCTTGCTTATTACACCCACAAACACACATACTAGCCTGCCTCTGAGCAAGAAAGGTGGTAGGAAATTTTCTGCTCACTAGTGTTTCAAGGAGGAAATAGCCTTCTGATAGTTTCGCTCTTCCACTTGCTTGCTGAAATACAATCCATTGCCTCCAGAATACTGAGCACATTAGTAACCACCTTCTCCTCCAAATTAAGATATAAAAAATTATATCAAAACATTTCTGTTGTTGTTTTTCATCTTTGTTTGTTGGTTTGGGTTTTTTTTTAATTTCATTTTTAAGCCCCAAGTGGCTTCACTCTGCCACTTCAACAGACACCAAATCAGAGGAGAAGGTTTGCCCTATTTAAAGCAGAATGATGCTTTAAAGCTGCAGACCACTGAGCCCAATGGGTAAAATGCTTGCTAGGATACGGTACCTATACTACATCCAAAGTCATTATTCTAGCTGAAACCAGATCAGTCTCAGCTTCCAGTGATTCCCCAAAATGGGTATTGCTGAAGTTTTGTGAAATCTCCGCTTGTGCACCAACTCCCATAGATAACAGCACAGAGATGTAAACAAACGTTATACTGAGATGAACATTCATACCTGCCCGAATTCAGTTGGCAAAGACAGTACATTAGGCAGATGACAAAATTATTATTTGAGTTGTAAGTTGCAAAAATAATGTCCCACTGCTCCTGCAGGACATTGAGAGTGTTCAGGACATTAAACTGTTCAGGCAGCGATTGTTGTGGTCTGGATAGGCAGTACAGGATGGCTCTGTTTAGACAGCTGTATAGGGCACTGAGGAAAACTTCCTTTTGAGGAACGGAGCTTTCTAAGACCTGTGAAAACACAAAACAGCAGAGTATTTTTCCCCAAGGACCCACTCCTCTCACTTCATTTAAACTGTTGCAAACTTATTTCAGCAAAACTCCCCTGAACTGTTAGATACAAATTCAATTTTCCTGTATTTCTGCTGAAGTCCCCAGAATTGTGGAGGAGATTAATTTATTCCTGTTCAGCAACACATACATAGACAACAGACAGTGGTACAAAAGAGCTAACTATCCCTTCTTTATGCTGCACCATCTAGCTCCGAGTGTCATTTAGAGCCATTATGTGCTCATGCAAGAAAACAGGAATAATCACAATCACCAAATGGATAACAGCCATCTTCTTCAGAATTGCGGTATCACAACCTCAGTGTGAAACAGAGCACATTCCAACATGTTCGTAACAGCTGGAAAAAAATTTCACGTGACTCACCTCCATAATCTGTCTGGCAGTGAAGATCAGGATTTGCTTGGGGTCAGCAGCAAACATTCTGCTGTTCAGCTTCTCAACCAGCTTCTGAGCACAATAAGCAATATTCATCATGGATACAGGTGCAGTTGATTCTGAAGGGCCATGAGGATCACTGCTCCCTGGAGAGGATACAAGAGGGTTGATTATTCCAAAACAAACTGAAATGCAAAAAAAATTGTGAGATGTGAGGTTACCAGAGCTGAGAAGGAACAGTCTCATGCCATAATGTCTCAGAGTTGGGAGATGTCTAAGAAAACTCTAGGTCTAGCATAAATACCTTACTCAGACTGGAAATAACAGCTCCATCCTGAGGACAGAACCAATCTCACTAAAATAACATCACGAAGGACTGGTCCAGCTAATGACTCAGAAAGTAGAGCAGCAACAACTAAGTTATCAGGGTTGCTTCCAGATGCACTCAAGGATAAACCTAGGTTTCTTTCTAAGTACTCCCTTTTTAATGTTCAGAATCTGTTCTCAGAAAGAGAGAAAGAAGTGAAGAGGCTCTCTAGAAAAATGAGGAAGCTACAGTGATTTATGCAAACTGGCCTACAGCAGCAGTGAATGGACAGTCCAGCCTGCTGACCTGGACTGTCCATCTAGCTACTATTTCCAAACCTTTCTAGCAATTACAGCTACATGCTAAATACCACCTAGCCGATGATCTGATTCTCAGCACTCACCTCTTGGTCTTGTTTTCCCCTCGCCTTGGCTGGTAACATGGAAGACATCCATAGCAGACAGTAAAACTTTTGTTTGAAAATGTCTTTTCTGCTCAATGGTGGCATCCTCTGGAGAAGCCTATGTAGTGACCGTACACATATTAGTACAGCAGCAAAACAGACAGGAAATCAGACTCAAATTCACTTTCAGCCTTTATTCAAAGGCCTTAGATTTCACTGGATCTTTGGCAGATTATGCCTGTCAAAGATTCAGATTCAGTAAAAATTTTGCTCAAAGAAGCGAGTGGAAATTCCAAGAGACACTCAGTACTAACTGAGATAATTCAAAATGCCCAACATTTCCCTTAAGGGGGACCTAGGCACCATGTTAAGAAGAGGAGGGGAAAAACAGCACAAAGAGGAAGAGCAACTACTCCACCTCACTTGCTCACTGTAGCCCTTGGTGTGGGCATATGAAACAGCTGCTGCAAGCTGAGAAGTTATCTGTGACAGTTAATCCACAGTAACCCATAAATGCAGAGATTGGGTGTACTCCTCTGTGCAAACGTAACAAGGTACCTTTCATACATAGTTCAGCAAGAGTGCATATGTGGACAGTTACTGTGCAGCAGATGAGATGGCAGAACCTCATATCCTAGCTGGGAAAACAGGAAATCTGACATACGTCTATGCTCTCTAGCTGATAGCCAGCACAGTTGCCCTCTGCACACTGAACACAAACAAGGTTTTGCACAGGGCCAGAACCTAGGTTCACAGGTGGCTCCCAAGAGATCTTGCCCTCAGGGAGTTATAGCTCCATTTAGGAGCCTCAGGATTCAGATAATCGGAATAGCCATCCTCTATCTTAAACTGTACCAAGCCTTGAGATATTATTATATAAGCCTGCTATTGTACAACTGCTGCTCCACAATATGATTCAATTCATGACAATTGCAGTCAAGCTTATGTTCACTACTATTTGTATTACTAAGCTAAGTCTGCATAAAAACTCACATCTGGGACACCTGTATGATTGACAATTTGGAGCTGAAGGCTAAATTTTCCATTTTCCCTTTCTTCAGACTATTCTGATTCTTTCCAGTGCTTTGAGTGGTTGAAATCTGTAATCCAGACTCAGCTGTTACAGCTTGTATTAATCTGTCCTAAAAGTGGAGACAGTTGGTTTTGGTTTATTTGAGCACTGAAAAGAAATTGTCTCAAAAATCAGTACACAGGAATTCTCCATGTGAAATCTTCTGTTCTCAACAAATTCAAGGACTGCTCTAATGACAAGCAGGCATTACTAAGGGAAAGGGAAATTTTTTCATGCCTTATTTCAATGTTAAATGTTGCCTGAAAAACGCATTTGTTGTTGTCTAGGGGCAGCATTTTCTTAGTTCATACGAATGCAGGGCAGGCAGAAAAGGACTTTCTTCCTTGCTGAAAAGGTAGGAATTCCATTCCACTAAGCAGGCTGTCTAGATCTGCCAGGAAATAGTGCATGCTCTCCAAGAGCTGTGATCCCAGCCTTATCCTAGACTGCTGAAAATGCTGACTGAATACACCTCTTCATCACCACTCGCACTTTTTTCACTATGCCACTAGCAGGATACCACCTGTCCTTCCACCCCCAGTGCAAGGTAGAACAGGAAAGCCTGACAATTACAAGAGACCTCAAGAAGCAGCTCAAGCGGATGCCCTTGTTTGTTTGCTGGGATGTTGAGAAGACTGTCCCTCAGGAGGACTCGCACAAAATCCCACACTTGTTTCTTGGCAGGGTGTGGTAGGAGCGGGAGAGAGGAGGGATCAACACAGCCTTTCCCTTCAGCAATGGCTGGACCATCAGGAGACAAAAGGCCTTCAGAGCCTCCCTGTGGAAGCAGACAGCAATGCATTTTAACTCAATCGCCCCTTTAAATTTATTTTTCCTCCTGGCAACCCATCTCTGATCTGAAAGGCTTGTGCTGGCTCAGATGCACGTACCTTGGGTGGTCCAGAATGGAAAGCAAGCATAGCCAAAGTTTTCAAGAAGTCAGGACAGTGCCACACAGGGTCCTGAGTATAACTGTGATAGATCAAGCACAGAAACTGGATAACATTCCCTGGATAGGCAATCTCCCAAGAGGCTTCTGCATCTGCAATAGGCTGAACACAAACAAATGTGCATTCAGTCAAGGCAGCATTCCTCTCACTCATATAAGCTCGTCTTTGCTCCTCTCTAGGTATTCCTAAGCAACTAAGCAAGCATGACATGGCCACAGAGGAGTCAGGCAAGGCACAAGCAGCCAACTCCCAGCTTGTAGACTGAAGATATACCCAATCAGAAAGGTGGCATACCTTTATCATCAAGGATGAACAAAATGGGTAATGCTGTGGGTAAGATCCATCCTGTATTCAGAAGTTCTTAAACATGAGCCCATCACATCATCTGCTATGTAACATAATGAAGCCAATAGCTGTGCTGACACTTCTAAGTCCCTGCTCACTATTATGCTCAGTATTGCCCTGTGAGGGCAGAGGAAGACTAGGGGTTACAGGTAAAGACTGCCACTGACATCTGACACTCTCAGGCAGTTTATTCTGCCATTCACACTGCACTGTCCTTGCAACAAAATGCTTACCTTGTCCACAGTGACTCTAACCATTTCCAGCAGTAAAGTAGCTGCCTCTGCACACAACCCAATTTTGAGGACATTCTCTGGAAGGTGGTGCTGCAAGATCCACTGCAACATAGACTCAAGATCTTTCTACAACAGGAGGAGATGTATTTCAAGAAGAGATGGAAATTATTGATGATACATCAAGAACAATGTCTGCTCTCTCTACATCAGAAAAAAACCAAAACATCTTCACCTCCAGCAGCTCCTCCCTCTCCTATTAAATGTGTTTCCCCAGGATAGCACTAATGGATTGTCCTCTTCTGAAAGATATCTTTGGCACTGTTGGGGCAAAAATGCCTTATGGCTTCTCAGGATGCAAGGGGGAAGTACCCAAATCCACTAATTCTGAGACTTTAATGAGTCTTGACAATGTGAGGACAGGGAAGCTAATCTGAATTACCTTCTGAAGTGCAGTAGTTAAATGGCATTTAACACCTGCGCAAACAAGTTTGTTGTGAACACGAATTTCCTTAAGTCAAAGTTAACCTACTTTATTTTTAAAGTATGAATGACTAGTTTTAGCTATCACAAAAACCAAGCAGGGTTAATTTGCTTGAGAATCCTCTTACAGAAAAAGCCACAAAATGCTGAAGTAGTAAAGCAATAGCAGCTTCATGCTTGTCCACTATTTTTTTCATACCTTGGCTGCTTCAGGTGGTTCAGACTGTGGAGTTGCCAGAAAGAGCCCTGCCACGAGCAAGTAGATCTCAGGAATGTGGACATGATCAGTCAGACATCTTTGCAACACAGAAAACCCAAAAATCAAGAAGGAGCCATTGTCAGGCACTGGAGGATGAGCTTTTAAGTTATCTTTAAAGGAAAAGGAAAACATTCTGAGGAACTGTAAAAATAAATGCCATATCAGAGGAAGGATTACTGACCCAAATTTATCCTCATCTGTCTGTGTCCCAAGGCCACTCAATACTCTGCTAATCTGCAATATCAATAGTTCACAAAACTTCCTCAGACAAACAATTTTTCCCACCATAACTTTTGTTACAGGAGATTCTCCCTGAATTATTATTCTTCTTTTCTCTTCCTTTTCTTGGAACCACAGGTCTAGTTATCAAAAAGCAAGCTGAACAAATCTTAAAGAAACAGAAGGTTTCAGGGTACAAGCTGACATCTGAACACCTCACAGACTTATCAACTAGCCTGATTTTATGCAAGACAAAAAGGCCCATCTCCCTGCAACTGCTAATCAGAAATGCCAACTATTGTGCAAGGGAGAAGCAATCCTTTCAACTTTTCAGCACAGAAAAGCCTAAGTACTAGGACAAGCTTGTGGTAGGAAAGTAATATCAATTGTTGCTCTACTGAGATCAGTGGGAATTCTCCTACCACCTACTTTAATGATCTCCTATCATTGAGCTGGATCAAGGGATTGTTTTGGGAGCATTAAACCAACACATACCCATTAGAATACTCAACCCCACAGAGCTGTTTTCCAGCCAGCGCCCAGCCACTATCCCCTCCTTGAATTTGTTCAGCAGTGAGCGATTGTGGAGGAAGCACAGAAGTAGCTTGATTCCTAGCACAACGGTGCTAGAGTGCAGGTAGCTCTGTGTGAACAGCAGAAACCAGTCTGGCCCCAGTGCCAAAAATGTCTCTTCTTGTTTCCTAGGACAAACAGGGAAATGAAAGCACATGAAAGGAGACGTGGTGAAAGACAGAAAGAAAATTTTATTTAAAATTATCTCTATGTGATTTAGAAGCTCAAGTTTCTCTAGAAAAAAATCTGATTAAAGGTTTACCACAACACAGAACTGCAAAGATTTAATGAGATACTCATCTACACAGTACAAGCCACTTAATTCCCACTAAATCCAATCTTATATTACTGTCAGACAAAAAAGCTCATTAACATGAAGCTCCTTCTGAGAGTGTGTATCAATAACTGAGGTAAACTACGTCACAGACTAGATCTTTCAACCTATGAAATTCAAAATTCCGGTTTAAAATTTGAAGTCCAAGATACGTTAACTAATGAAAATACACAGTTACAGCACCTAACACTATGAACTCTGCCTTTCAGTTATACAAGGTAGAACTATCGTAACTGCATGTTCATGGTTACAATAGAGGGGTAGAAGTAATCCCACATTAGACTGAATTTATTTTCAAAGGCAGGTGGGATTTCTTCAGCCCTTGCAATGAAGAAGAAACAGCAATATCCAAGTTCCTCCTTTGAGACATTTTCTGAAAACAAACTTTTTTCAAAATGGAGATCAGATGTGTGATCTGATCACACATCTATGTGAACACCAGATAAACTGCTGACAAAACCCCCCTCTGAATCCAGTCTGCTCTTACTTACTATTTTGTTGAGACTCAGATATTATCAGTGTGTTTAGCTCTGGTCAAACACCAGTAAAGAGTAAATCTAGAAGACAGAGACACTTACCCATGCCTTCCTAAATTGTTTCTACTTACTCAGAGGACAGATGAAGTTTGTCTGAGTGCATTACATCTAACAGCATCTTCAGTAACTGGTTTCGAAGCCAGATTGTCTTTCCAGATGTTTGGCTTGAGGCTACAAATATCAGAAAGTAATAAAGAGACAAAACACATGTTCCATTGCTTTGATGAACAACCTTGTTTGCACCAGATTAGCCCAATGAAAGTACTTATATCAGTCTTTTGTAGAGTAAAAAGATGCAGACATCAGATTTTAGACATAAGAATTCCTGCTAACATCAGAAATGACCAGTGCTTACATTGTCAAAGTCCTCTCTTTAGAGTTACTTAAAACTCATCCAGACTACATGTTGAATAATAATCCACAGGAAGTAATCGCAGGTTAACTAGAGAGGGAAATATAAACAGGCAATCTGACTTGTATTGCCTAGCTGTGATGTCTATATATATAAACTACGGTTATGAGTGTCTCCTTAATAATTGTTTAAAGGTACAATAACCAATATAGTCTCAACTGAAAGATCACAGTGAAAGTGCCAGCTGACTGGAAGTTCCCCCACACAAAACTGATATAAATACATACATACTTTAAAAGGTGCAGAGCTCCAATTTATTCTTTGCTACAACTGTGTCCTGGTTTCAGCTGGGGTAGAGTTAATTTTCTTCCTAGTAGCTGGTGTAGTGCTGTGTTTTGGATTTAGTTTGAGAATAACGTTGATAACACACTGATGTTTTAGTTGTTGCTAAGTAGTGCTCACTCTAGTCAAGGACTTTTTCAGCTTCCCATGCTCTGCCAAGGTGCACAAGAAACTGGGAGGGGGCACAGCCAGGACAGCTGATCCAAACTGACCAAATGGCTATTCCATACCATATGACATTATGCTCAGTACATAAACTGAGGGGATGTCGTGGTTTAGCCCCAGCCAGCAACTAAGCACCACGCAGCCGCTCACTCACTTCCCCTACCCCGATAGGACAGGGGAGAGAATCAGAGGAGTAAGAATGAGAAACACTCCTGGGTTGAGATAAAAGCAGTTGAATAATTGAAATAAAGTAAAATAGTAATGATAATA